AGGGATCATATAGGGGACTGCTATAAGGATTATTGAGGGGGGTACTAATTAGGAGTTCAGACTATGGCTCATATATGTCTTCTTCCTACACATGAGTATTCAGCTGCCTTGAATTGAGCTTGTGCTGCTCAATCCTGGTTTTGAGAAGTCCCAGTTTGCGGAAGGCGCTATGAGGCAGGCAAGTTGTCCCAGGAAGAACCTTGAGGCGTTCCAGCGTGAGAGCATGATGGAAGGTTTCCGTTGATTTCTTGATGGATTGAAACACCAATCAAGCATAAGGGCCTCCGTGGAAGGACATGGATGCCAAGGAAGTCCGTGTCTTAACAGTCCCACCAGGAGTACAACCTCACAGCACTAAACCTTGCAACCCAAAATCTCTGTGAGGCTCTAATCCAGTACCGGACAGTACCAGCTGTAGTCCCCCCGCTGAAAAGCAAACCCCTGCGCTAGACATTATGGGAAGTCTGTTGTGTGTGTGGGGGTTATTATTAATGGTCAATGCCCTGAACCTCGCAAAGCCGCGCAAGCCTCCCCCAGCTCTCAATTTGCCTCAGGTGCAGCCAACCTAACGGCCGGCGAGGTGCCTGAAAAACCTTCTGAACTGTTTCCATTTTCTTCGCCATGAAGACTAGTAGAAAAGAGTTTGAAAGGCATTCATTTCGTACTGTGGAGGTTCTCAAAGCTGCGGGCTGCTTTCCAGGGTCCTTATCATGACCATCCTGTATTGGAAGTTACAGGAAGGAGAAGTACCCACGTGTATGAGGCCTGCTAGATCTTGATAGATGCTAGAGTTTGGGGCTGTGAATGATGTGGAAGTGAGGGGTCTGGACATTTCAGGGTTTTACGCCGGCGTTAGGCTACTGTGCTACACCATGTTTCTGGAATTGAGGGTTTACCCGATGGTCTTAGTTCAAGTGACAGGTTTTGGTTGTAGGGATGTTCCCCGGCCTAGATGTTGCCGGGATCAGATCTAGTAGACAGTAGGTCCAGTGGGTAGGAAGCCGTTCTGAGAACCCCAAATTCAAAATCAGCAGATGTTTGTTATTGTATTTACTATCGAATCGATGGCGGAGCAGATTGTTCAGGTGTACACCAGCGGAGTGCATCACTTCTGCCGATACGACCGTACGTTTGAAGAGGCTGGGCTGCTCTCAGGGAGTTTTCAGGTCATTGGTGTTATCAACACGGGTCCCTTTCTAAGGATCCCCCTATCAAAGACTTTGGAACATAGAAGGATCAAACCTGTACCCATCCATAGTTCTTGGTGTCCTGAGACTGTGTTGTTGTTTTTCAGAGACTCGTGTGGTTTGAGGCAGACACAAAGGGTGTATTCTGAGACGGGCAGGCGCGCATTCTGTATGGAGCTTGCAAGGCCGGCGGAGAGGCCGTTGATGCTGCCACCATGATGATGAAGGTCTCTTATCACATTCTCACCACGACTGCTCACAGAGGATGCAGGTTTCTGCATCGCTCACTATTGCCCGCCTGGCAGGGGCGCAGCATCCAGTTCGACTTGCATGCGGTTCGTTTTCAATCTAATCTGATCTGCAATCTAAATCTGGTCATCAAATCTCTCTCTCTCTCTCTCTCTGTCTCTCCTCTCCCTCTCTCTCTTTTCCCCTTCTCCGTTTCTCTCTTCCGATGTGCCTTTACCTTTACCTTTCGCTTCGACTGTTCACCAGGCCATCCCTTTCGAGTCGAGCTCTGGCTATTGTGTCCTCTCTCTGTCTCTGTCTGTGTCTCCTTCACTTACTCTTTTACTATTTCTCTTTCTCTCTCTCTTTCATTTTCTGTCATCTTCCAGCATCTACGCAATGACGCACCCAAAGTTTTGTCCCGGAGCTCTAGAACCCAAATCCCTCAAGCCAAAGCTGGCGGCAAGCCACAGTGTTCTACAATCAAAGGCATCTTTAACTGCCGAGTCAGGCCTCGTGACACCCCTGTTATCATCATCTGCATCGTACATAATGTCTAAGTCTAAGCCCCTCTGCAAGAAAAGTCTTATCCTATGCTCGTGTCGCGTGCAAGGCAGATCCAAAGTTCGGTCTGCATGATGAGGCGCGCTGAAGCGTCATGTTCATAGGAACCGCTAGCTTGGGCTTTGGTGGGCGCAAATCGTTGGCTTTTGGGAGGCGGTGGCCACATGTAAGTCCAACGTATGCAAGGTCACTAGGAATTTCACCGCTCTCTGGCTGTCTGCCACAGCAAGTATCGATGAATCAGTCCTCATAAAGTCATGTCCGGTGCCATATGGCTTGCGTGCGGAAAGCCTGCCTCGTGCTTGTTGAGTATCAAGTGCTGTCAGACAACGTGCAACTGCCTGCCTGATTTATCAGCCCCTGGTTCTACCCAGATGAAACTCCCGGGTCTAGCCGCAGACTCATTTTTTTCAACTGTTTTTCTTGAACCAGGAAGGGGTTCCAGGATTTTATGCACAATCTCGTGGGGCAAGAAAGTCCAACGCAAATATTGGCAAGAAATGGTGTTTGCGGGAGTTAGGCCACAGAGTTTTATCTGCTGTCTAAATCTCATTCCCCAAGAGGACCCAGCTGTCACCCCGATGTCTTACATATCTGTGGATACTTGTTGAGATTGAGTACCTGTGTCCATCATAGCTATCCATTCTTATCTGAGCAACATGCGCGCTAACTCTTCCAAGCATCGCAGCTCAAGGCATGACCGTCAGGGAGCATATACGGACGCCCGTATATAGAGACGACCGTCAGGTCGAAATCATAAAATAGGGACGACCGTCAAGTCCCAACTTATCGGGATGACCGGGGGTCGCAATTTAACATAGGGACGACCGTAAGGTTGCAATTTAGTGACGACCGTGAGGTCGCAAGGTAAAATAGGGACGACCGTCTGGTGGCAAACATGGATGACCATGAAGCCATGAGGTCGCCATAGGATGGGGAGGAAGTAACAGGAGTCTTGCATGACGGAGCTAGCGCATCATTTTTAAGTGGGGTCAGCCCTCAGGGTTTTATTTCATGGCAGTGTGCAGCAACACTCAGCAGGTTTCCGCATCTTGTCTTATGTGGAGCTGAGTGGGTATGCATGGTTAGGCCATTTCAGGCCTAGATTTATGCGCAATTATTCGGGCTTCATCTCAACCCCCCAGAGATTTATCTGAATAAATCCGAATCCAATTACATCGCCGCAGTCATTGAATAGACACTGACACTGCTTCATTGCTTTAGCACTCTGAGGCCTGTTGCAGCGATCAGCCCAGACCTTGAAGTCCAGACTCTATTGGGATCCTAATATAACCCCAATATAACCCCAACATAATTACAGTAGTTTCCAGTTTGTTTGCCATTATCCCTATACTACACACTCCTGACATTGCTGAGGTCTTGATTGAGTAGAAAAGCCCGGCCCATTTCCACTGCTCGCTTTCTAAGACTATCTATCCACTTGCGGACTATTCCTTCAGAATTTTCAGCCTTGAAGTATATCTTGGGGTTATTTATAGGAGTAATGGAAAAACTCAGGGATTATAGGGTTATATATATATAGGGTATGTAGACGAGTATATATTAGGAGTTCTTGAACAGCAGACCTCTCAAGCCACGAGCCCACATCACTGGTATGCTGAGTCTATCTGAAACATGAAAACCCTTGCGCTCCGCTGCTAGGTCTCTGGCTGCTGTCACCCCGCGTGCTGCATTCAGGCTTGCTTCATGACATACCTTTTGATCTTAGCATGCGCACCACGCGCGACACAAGATTGTTTGAGGGTGTCTGCAAGGCCAGCTCCGAACCCGAATGAGGACCATTTCAGTGTCGGACTAAATCTATGGAAGAAGCAGCATGTCAAGGCTGGTCACGAGACTCGAAATGGTAAATTTCAAGCGAAAACCGACAGGGGCCAACCCTCCATCG